CTCATGCAGTACCTCCGTAGACCCCCTAGGGGTCGCGGATCCCCCGTTGAAGACCGCTCAAGAAGATTTTACTAATGTGGCACCCGAGAGGTGCGATCCTCTTAAATAAAAACCATAAAAACCAAACAGACTGCGGCGATTGTGAGCAGGGCTTTAAAAAGTTTAATTGATTAAAATCCAATAAAAGATAAAAAGATAAGTTAAAATCGATTCAAATCCAATAAAAAAAAAAGATAAAAAGAAAGATAAAAATCCAGATGGTGAAGAGCAGCAGAGTCAATGGCCCAGTCTGTTAAAAGACGCGCACTTGGCGGGTATAATGGAGGGCACCGTCCACCCCAGCGCTGGATCCTCGTTCCGGCACGCTGCGCGTGTGGGCCTCTCCAGCATAGCTGGCCTTAGCGAGGTCACCTCCAACACGCGCCTCCACCCCAGCGCTGGATCCTCGTTCCGGCACGCTGCGCGTGTGGGCCTCTCCAGCGTAGCTGGCCTGCGAGGTCACCTCCAACACGCGCCTCTCGCCAGCGTGCCTCTGCGCCTCGCTCCATGACGGGCCTCTCTGCACCCCGCTCCGGCGTGCGTCTCTGCGCCTCGCTCCATGACGGGCCTCTCTGCACCCCGCTCCGGCGTGCGTCTCTGCGCCTCGCTCCATGACGGGCCTCTCTGCACCCCGCTCCGGCGTGCGTCTCTGCACCTCGCTCCGGTGCGCGTCCCTGCACCTCGCTCCGGTGCGCAGGAGGAAAGTGGGGATGAAGATCTTGTGGAAGAGGACGCCAGGGCGGTAGAAACTTCATTTGGTGCAGAAGGCTTACAGCCGTACAGGTTTGAGTCCTTGCCTCGCAAGCTCTACGCCTGCCGAAGACACAGACGTCCATCCCTGTGAACACTGGGACGTAACTCAATAGTAAAGTAAATGATTCTTATGTCTTATTTCAACCGTTGCGTATATTAGCTGCGATATATGAATTAAGATTCTATGACCAAAAAAAATGTATTGACAGATGACCGTTGATATATGTTACGCTGAATTTAGGTGTACAAGCTGACGTATAGCTAACTGGCCTGCATTAGGTAGAGAAAAAAGCCAACAGATTTTAAGACAGGATTTTTTTTGTAAATAGAAATTTTCTAACATTTGGGACAGTGTGGTCTGATAAAGAGTACATTTATATACATGTTTAAGCCAGAATGAGTTGAATTTTGAATATGACTTCCCTATGACTTTAAATAAAGGAATTAATCAATTCACCCATCTGTCTGTCCATCCATCCATCCATCCATCCATCCATCCATCCATCCATCCATCCATCCATCCATCCATCCATCCATCCATAAAAGTAGTTAAATACATTTTTTAATTAAAAATTAACAGTTAGTAATACTGTTTCTATTTAACGCCTGTACACTAAACTCTGATTCCTAGTGTTTATGAACACATTATTCTGGTTCCTCTCAGAAGAAAGTTTAAAACTCAACTCAACAAAGTGCATTTTATCATGCATTCCTACCAAATCTACCTTGTAATTACACCTTCTATCTCAGGAAAATGTTTTTGTATGCTATCTTGTGGAACTTTACTTCTATCCTTATACATTATTTGTGAGGTTTAAAATTGTACCAGATCAGAGAATTTATGCACGTAAGAGTGACAGAACAATGGATTAGTTTGGCTTTTAAAGCCAGCCTAATGATTTACACTGATGGCTCTTCTGCAGCACGCATAGCGGTTTGAATGATGTCCTGTAGCTGTTACCCCATACTTTTATACAGTGAGATTGTTTAAAGCTTCATAATATTAAAAATGTTTTTGGAATTGTGATTCTTCTAGATACAGTGGTTTAGTCTGAACATATTTAATGTGAGGTTTCCCGCAGATTTTGTAGTCAATAATCACACATATTTCAAGAATGGTATACTATCCACTTGTTTCACCTTTACCACATTTATTATGACTTTCCCATTAATATTTCCTAAATAATGTTAAAATAATTAATTTAGTTTGATATAAATTTAAGGTTTTTTTGTCAAAACCTTTTTTTGTGTCATTTTTAGCTTTGGGTAAGAATGGCCTAGTAGTTAGAGCAGTGAGATTGTGCACAGTTGTGAGTACCCAGTTTAATCCCCACCGCCTGCAGTCTGGGTCCCTGAGCAAGACCCTTAACCCCATACTGCTCCCCAGGCGCCTCACATTGGCAGCTCACTGTGCAGAGGATGGGTTAAATGAAGAGCTAAGTTTCTCCAGTGCAAGATCAATAAAGTTCAATTCAAATTGTTATTTATTATTTTGTAAATATGTGTATCGTCTGCAAACAAAATAAGCTCTAATACTTTTTAAACTTAAATCCGTTATTTTTGTAGAACATAAAGCTTTTTTGATCAAAGTTATCAACCTTAAGGGACACCACATTCAGTGCCCAAGCTTGATGAGTGATATTAATCCATTTTCACAAACTATTCCCTACTACCTTAAATGCTCTCCATCCACTCCAGAACCCTTCACCCAACCCGCACAGAAAAAAAAAAATCCTGATCAATATATTTTGATGGGTTGTGTAAAATGCTTTTTTTTTAGATCAAGAAATAAACCAATTTGAAACATTTTTTTAGCTCATGCTGAAGCACGGAAAGAAACAACATTATTTAAAAAATGTATATATTGTACGGTAGTTTTATCATTTTTATGAATAAGAATTTAATTAGATTCCACAATTTATTTACTCAAACTTATAAACTAGATGCACTTCTAGATGTAGGATATTGTACTTTATAGCCCCATAAGGAATCACAATGTTTTAACTCCCTCAGTGTCTCATGTCTGCTAATTTTCAATGCTAAATGCAGCACTACTCTCTAGATTACCCTTTATAGCTTACTGCTATAAATAACCATTAACTGCACTTACACTGCAATTTAAAGCTGTCCACAAAAACAAACACTATACCTTCCAAAGCCATAAAAGAAACACACCACAGAATTCTTTATACATACTTTGAAATGCAAGGTAGACCATTTGTGTTACATTAAGTGTGCCGGTAGAGCCTGTTGTAGTCTTGTTGTAGTCTTCTAAAATAAAAGCCAAAACTTATTCTTATATCAACTTCTCCTTAGATATTTCCATATCAAGGTCACAATCTTTAAAACAATTGTGCGTATATCATGTGCCAACTTGATACGATGCACAAAGATGATCTAAAAACTTGGTGCAAATCGAACAGTACATTTAAAATTGTGGAAGGCAGACAAAAACTTAAATCATAGTTGCCTTGAGGAATAATAATATAATATTCTGATGACCAAAATTCGGAAATTACTGGAAGGAGTATATGTAAATCCATTACCTTACCACCTCCAAAGCAATTCATCAAACCCTAAATAGTGTGCCCGACAAAGTTCAGTTATTTTCATAGTTAACTGAGCATCATTCTTATCCACTGAGTATGGCATGCTGCCATTACCTTGGAGCAAGTCAAGTTCAGTCATTTCAAACCCCCTTAAGCAGCATTGCACTGCTGCCCTGAAAGTTTGTGCAATTTATAAAACTGTTATTTCAGCTACTCCAGTCACTGCCAAGTCTTAAATGAATTAACCTAAAAATGCCCACATCAGAATAATAATTTTGCTGTTGGTACTGTAGTGCAGCATTATGGAAAATTCAATCTACAGTATAACTTTGATAATTATAAAATTTGAATGACTGAACAAGTTAAATGGATTATGAGGGAATTCCTAAAAAGGCTTGCAGCCATTGTAACCTTTGGTGGCCGAGGGGTGAAAATGCCTTGGAAATAAACAAATGCAAAGACATTTCAATAGCTACTGCAAATAAAAAACCCAGGCTTGGAAACGAAAGCTGTATACTCAAGAACTCAACAAATAAATGAACACACCAAAGCACTGCAAATGCAAAGGACAAATTCTACAATCACAGAAAAGAGAGAAGTGAATTACAAATGTTCTGCAAACACAAAAACCACTGCAAACACATATATAAATGATTCAAACAAACAAAACACATGCAAATGGAAAATGCTGCAAAGAAAAAGTAGGAGGAGAAGATAGCGCCTTTGTTCATTGTATGATCCAACATATGATAAGAATTATATATTGGTCAGCTTACTTAATGTTGATTCTATGGTTGCAGAAAGATGTTTGATGAGCAGTAGCAGTTCTTACATGTGTGCACAGGGGAACCCTGCCTTTTGCTCCAAAAAGGAAAAAGTCTGTGTTTATGTTTTAAAAAAATAGAAGGATAATCTCCCACTTTGACTTAATGGTGCTAAAGATCACAGAATATTGAAGAAACCTTTGTGTTTTGGACTGAAACCTGAACTTAGAGAGTGACATAACATTTCTTAAGGAATTGCCCTACTAACTTGATAGAAAAAAGGATTTGCAGCAAAAAAAGGACAGAAAAATGTATGTTTATTTGGTTTTATTTTCAGTGGCTTAGATTTTTGTCATGTGTCTTCAAATGTCTTCAAACTGAACAACAGGAAAATGGATTGATTATATTACACCAGTTCCTAAATCTCAGCACCAGCTCTGTTTCAAACGACATGGCTATAGCTGAGGAGCCATATTTCCTCTGATCTTTTTCCAAGTAACACTTTAATTTACCAGGCAAAAAAAAAAAAAAAAAAATAAACAAAACAAAAAACAAAAGAAAAAAAAAAAAAAAAAAAAAAAAAAAAAGCCAAACTTTATTTGCACTCAAAAAACAAGATGGGAAAAGTCTCCAGAAATCAAGCAAACTGGGTGGGTCTGTGTGTGGGAGTGCAAATCAATTTCCCCCTATCATAAAGTTTCATTATAAGACACAGAGCAGCGGGGTTTGTTCTGGTAATTTGACTTGGAAACAACTTGTTTGTTTATTCAACGTTTCCCTCCACTCCGCTCCTCATAAACCCTCTGACATGTTTCCTGTTGAAGCTGCAGCAGTGTGCGTGACCAGGGATACATAAAGCTTGAGGACTGTTCTCGCCCCTAGATGTGGAGCCACTCCACTCCGCGTTTTGCCCTGCCCTTGTGCGCTCTGCTCGCTGTGCAGCGCGCGTCTCCCATGCATATTGCTTCCCTCTCGCTGTCATAAAGACAGGACAGCTGTACAAGAGAGAAGTTGTTGGCACACCGAGCACCAGCAGGTTGCATCCTCACCAGGATCGTGTCGCTTTACGGAGTAGTGTGGACTTCTTTTCTCTTCTCTGTCGGAAAATGTGGCGGACGCATCAGTATCTTAAGTGAGGAGTTATCTTATTTGCAAATCAGCACCTGACACCGTGCTCTTTTCTTAAAAAAAAAAAAAAAAATCTCCAAATAAAGCCTTTGGATCTCTCTAATTCCAACGGAGCTCGTATTTCTCAACCAGACGTTTTTTATTATTAGGATTTCACTGATGTGTGCGATGTGGAGACTCCGGGTCATCTTATGTACTCTGTCGGTGCTGTCCCTGTCATCTGCTGGAGAAAGCAAAGCGCGGAGCTGCAGCGAGGTTAGACAAGCTTACAGCGCCAAAGGATTCAGCCTCCTCCATGCGCCTCATCAGGAGATATCAGGTAGGCGACACTGACACATCATCATGTCTCCCCCTCATATTCAACTATTTGATTATCTTATTTCTCACACCTCTGTACATTTCAACTATTATCCTTCTTTAACTTAAACAGAGAAGAATGAGTTTATTGGAGCGGGTCCTATTGGCATTAGACATTGCTGCAAAATGTCAAAAACAAATATCACAATCTTCCCATTTAGAATTCATTATGCGCTCAGTTTTCTTATAAATCCCTCATTCATTTACCATCAATCTGACGTGTAGAAAATGTATAAAGTATTTAGCAAAGAACTGATGTGATCAGAATACTTCCTTAAATAATATAAATATAATCTGCAGAGAAAAATAGATAATAATTATAAGCATTAGTTTAATTTTTAGATAAATATAAAACTATTACTTGTTATATTTTAGAAACATAAATCATTTAACAAAAAGGCACAGATTTAACTTTTCCAGTATTGAGTCATAAGTAATACCATTCCCATAATCCGATGTATTCTCTCAGTTAATCTAACAGTAACCATGTATTACAGCATTACATGTTTATTATTATTTTTAACAGGGGTTCTGCTGAGTGGAACAGTAAAAACTGGCTTTTCTATTGAGAAGTGGCAGCATACCTGTTGCTCACATTCAACAGAATATCATGAAACTCCTTTTGCTGGATTTGGGTTAATGGAGAATAATTTTTGCCAGCAGGGGGCTGTATGTCCTCAACCTCAATTACTTTATGTTTTCGCTTATTTGAGGGAGAATTTGCTTTTATTTTGATATCCCTTGAGGATCATGTTTTAACTCATGCTCTATAAAAATAAGGAGGGTTTTTTTTTTATTATCTCCTGCTTGGCAGCATTCATATTTAAGGTCATAGTAAGAAAGGGTGCCTGTGCAAATTCTGGGTCATGGCAAACCCAAAACATGCTTAAGTCCAAGAGAAGCCTGTTTTGTGGTTTGCAAGAAAAGATATTGTCTCTCACAATTTTTGAGAGGCTGTTTGAGGGAAGATGAGAGGATTAAATATAATCTAATTGCCGCTCACAGGAAAAATAGGGATGCTGCTGGTAATTACCTGTCACGATTTGGTTAAAAGGTTTAGATTGGACCCAAACGCAGAAGCTGGGAGGCAGAGGTGAATTCTTGGAGGGTTTATTGCAAGATAAGGCAACAAAAACAGGTATCCAAAAATCCAACTTAAAAAAATGGTAAACAAAAACAGGAATCCAAAAATCCAACTTAAAAAATGTTTAACAAAAACAGGAATCCAAAAATCCAACATAAAAATCAAACACTAACCAGAACCATGGAGACATCAGGGAAAAACCAACAAGGAGCCAGGGTGAGGAAAGGTAAAGACGAGGAACCAGCAAAGAGGGACTGCATTTATGGCTGACTGAACAAAGGTAGAGGTAATGAGCTGATAGGGAACAGGTGTGATTAGAGCTGACGAGGAAGCCAAGGGAAAAGAACACAAGGAGGCAGCAGGGGACAGACAGAAAAACCTAAGCAACTTAAATGAATCCAGACACACCAAAAAAGCTAGAAATCAATGAAAAACCTGGCTAAACTTGAAACAGAAAGCTTAAAGAAAAACAACAGAACCAAGATCATTACAGAGCCCCCCACTCAAGGGCGGATTCCAGACGCCCCTTTAATGTCCAAAAAGCAAAAAAAAAAAAAAACAACCCAGGGTGGGCGGAGGGGGAACCAGGAAGGGGGGAAAGAAGCCAAAAACAGTCCAAGAAACAAAACGCAACCCATCCAGAGTGGGCGAGGACAATCGAAAGTCTCTGAAAGGCCGGCCGCGGGGCCGGAGGCGAGGCAGAGTCTCTGGAGGGCGGCCGCGGGGCCGGAGGCGAGGCAGAGTCTCTGGAGGGCGGCCGCGGGGCCGGAGGCGAGGCAGAGTCTCTGGAGGGCGGCCGCGGGGCCGGGGCTGAGAGAGACGCCCTGGAGGCCGGCCGCGGGGCCGGGGCTGAGAGAGACGCCCTGGAGGCCGGCCGCGGGGCCGGGGCTGAGAGAGACGCTCTGGAGGCCGGCGTCTCCAATGCAGCAGAAACCTAGGAGGAGGACGCCGCCTCCGCAGGATGCGCCGAGGAGGACGCCGCCTCCGCTTCTGTTGCTCTGCAACAGGCTCAGAGGGAGCCGTCGACTGCGGCTCTGGAACAGCCTCGGAAGGGGCCGCCCACTGCGGCTCTGGAACAGCCTCGGAAGGGGCCGCCCACTGCGGCTCTGGAACAGCCTCGGAAGGGGCCGCCCACTGCGGCTCTGGAACAGCCTCGGAAGGGGCCGCCCACTGCGGCTCTGGAACAGCCTCGGAAGGGGCCGCCCACTGCGGCTCTGGAACAGCCTCGGAAGGGGCCGCCCACTGCGGCTCAGGAACAGGATCAGACTGGGCCGCCCACTGCGGCTCAGGAACAGGATCAGACTGGGCCGCCCACTGCGGCTCAGGAACAGGATCAGACTGGGCCGCCCACTGCGGCTCAGGAACAGGATCAGACTGGGCCGCCCACTGCGGCTCAGGAACAGGATCAGACTGGGCCGCCCACTGCGGCTCAGGAACAGGATCAGACTGGGCCGCCCACTGCGGCTCAGGAACAGGATCAGACTGGGCCGCCCACTGCGGCTCAGGAACAGGTTCAGACGAGGCCGCCCACTGCGGCTCAGGAACAGGTTCAGACGAGGCCGCCCACTGCGGCTCAGGAACAGGTTCAGACGAGGCCGCCCACTGCGGCTCAGGAACAGGTTCAGACGAGGCCGCCCACTGCGGCTCAGGAACAGGATCAGACGAGGCCGCCCACTGCGGCTCAGGAACAGGATCAGACGAGGCCGCCCACTGCGGCTCAGGAACAGGATCAGACGAGGCCGCCCACTGCGGCTCAGGAACAGGATCAGACGAGGCCGCCCACTGCGGCTCAGGAGCAGACCCAGAGGAGACCGCCGACCGCAGTTCCGGATCAGGTTCTGAGGGGGCCGCCGACTGTGGTTCAGGAACAGCCTCAGAGAGGGCTTGGAGTGCCCGCAGAGGGCTCTTGGAGGCTTGGAGCTCCCGCTGAGGGGCTCTTGGAGGCGTACTCCCACAAACCCCAAAGTCTGAAGCCTCTTTGAAAGTGTGCTCAGGGGTCTCCAGAGGGCACAGAGCGGGCTCAGGGGTCTCCAGAGGGCACAGAGCGGGCTCAGGGGTCTCCAGAGGGCACAGAGCGGGCTCAGGGGTCTCCAGAGGGCACAGAGCGGGCTCAGGGGTCTCCAGAGGGCACAGAGCGGGCTCAGGGGTCTCTGGAGCTAGGCTAACTAGCCTGCTAACGGCCTCTGGTGCTGGGCTAACTAGCCTGCTAACGGCCTCTGGTGCTGGGCTAACTAGCCTGCTAACGGCCTCTGGTGCTGGGCTAACTAGCCTGCTAACGGCCTCTGGTGCTGGGCTAACTAGCCTGCTAACGGCCTCTGGTGCTGGGCTAGCTAGCCTGCTAACGGCCTCTGGTGCTGGGCTAGCTAGCCTGCTAACGGCCTCTGGTGCTGGGCTAGCTAGCCTGCTAACGGCCTCTGGTGCTAGGGAAACTGGACTGCTAGGAGCTGATGGAGATGGCAGAAAAGGGAAAAGATCTTCCCTCTCCCCATAAAAGAAACCCCAGAGATCTGACTCTGGTATATGGGGAGCTCTGACTGTGGGGGGTGAAGTTATGAAAGCAGGTCTAAACCTACCAACCCGAGAAGCTAGCTGTTTGTCATGGAGGTGACGACTAAAGCCATAGGGGAAACTAACCAGGTTAAGAGAGGGACTGAAAAAGGAGTCAGGCTGACCCTCCGGAGAGGGAGAGGAGGAGTCAGGCTGACGCTCCGGAGAGGTGGTTGTCTTCCTCCCCCGGCGGCGTTGCTTGCGCCTGGAGGAAGCAGATGGCAGGGGAGGACCCACAGCTGGTAATGGTGGGGGAACAGGATCGGAGGTGAGAGACAGCAGAGTGGGAAGGTGATGGAGTGATGGTTTGGGTGGTGGAGGTCTATTGCAGAGTTGGGCGAAGGCGGCTTGGCGGTTCCACTCCAACTCCTCGAATAGCTCAGATAAAACTGGTGGTGATAGAAGTGAGGAGTTAGAGAGGAATACTGGCTTCAACTGGTCAGCCGCACTCACCCTCTTCCAAGGCGGACTGAGAGCGGCAATGGAGTCCAGAGCATTCCTGAGAATAATGGAAATTCTCCTGGGGGCGTCCGGGCCGTGTTCTGCTGGGTCCATTCTTGGCTGGTTCCTTCTGTCACGATTTGGTTAAAAGGTTTAGATTGGACCCAAACGCAGAAGCTGGGAGGCAGAGGTGAATTCTTGGAGGGTTTATTGCAAGATAAGGCAACAAAAACAGGTATCCAAAAATCCAACTTAAAAAAATGGTAAACAAAAACAGGAATCCAAAAATCCAACTTAAAAAATGTTTAACAAAAACAGGAATCCAAAAATCCAACATAAAAATCAAACACTAACCAGAACCATGGAGACATCAGGGAAAAACCAACAAGGAGCCAGGGTGAGGAAAGGTAAAGACGAGGAACCAGCAAAGAGGGACTGCAGAGGGAGTGTATTTATGGCTGACTGAACAAAGGTAGAGGTAATGAGCTGATAGGGAACAGGTGTGATTAGAGCTGACGAGGAAGCCAAGGGAAAAGAACACAAGGAGGCAGCAGGGGACAGACAGAAAAACCTAAGCAACTTAAATGAATCCAGACACACCAAAAAAGCTAGAAATCAATGAAAAACCTGGCTAAACTTGAAACAGAAAGCTTAAAGAAAAACAACAGAACCAAGATCATTACATTACCAGCGTCTGACAGTGATCATAAACCTCTAACCACAGTCAGACTGGCTTGATTGTGATAGGAATTTGGTTTCCTGCGAGTGTACCAATTATAAGGATTCATAATGTTAGGAATGAAAATAAAAGTTCATAATTATTAATAAGATAAAGAAGCAAAATAAATATTCACAATTAAACCACATAAGAAAAAGAAAATACTAAATGT